TTCTTTTATTTTTCTTATATGTACCCATTTCATGTATTCACAACTATGTATACACTTATACTTATTATCTTGTAAACAATTGGCAAATCAAATAAATAAATAAATAAATATGCACTGAAGTACTGCTATTAATTCCTTTTATTCCTTCCTTCTTCTTATGCAAATCTGCAAATGCCCTGTGAGCAGAGACCAGAGTCAAAGTGGGTGGAGAGGAAAGGGCTGATGAAGCACATTGCTTGACAAGTGTCTGAATTCTTTTTCTTTTTTCTTTTAACATCCCTTTAATCCCTTTATGGATTAAAAGTGGAGTTGGGGTGACTGAATGGAGCTAAGAGTTTACTGGCCGGATGTTCTTCCTGACTCCTATGCAGAGTTCACAGCAGATATTTTTTCTTTGCGCCTTAATAGAGAAACATTTTCCACTGCCTAAGTTTGAACTCTGAACCTCACCTCTGAGGCAAGTGTCTTCATCTCTTGCCCACACAAGCTGCCACCAACTTGCCAAGAGACAACTATGCATGGCTAACTCACCATGGGATTACTTGCTGCAAGACAAGAGTTATACTAATATCAAAGAAATGGGGGGCTAGTATCATTAAAGAAAGGATGCAAAAGGAGGAACTGAATTGTTCAATTGTCCCATGGGAAGTTGTCCTGCAATGGATTGGCCATGGTGAGTTGTCTTGCAGCAAGTTGACAGTGGTGAGTTGGCTGTGGTGAGTTGGCCACGACAAGTTGGCCACGGCGCATTGGCCTCAGCAAGTTGTCCCATTCTGCTCATAGAAACATGGCAAGCAATAGAAGAAGGAATAATAAATGTTCTAAAAAGCTATGCCAACAAATTTGGAAGATGACATATTGGCTAACAGATTGAAAGAGGTCAATCTACATTCCAATATCAAAAAAGGGAGACTTAACAGAGTGTTAATAATATTCTTAATATCACATATTAGAAAATAATAGGATAATCCAAAACAGATTCAAGCCTTACATGGAAAAAGAGATGACAGATGTTGAAAGTGGCTTTAGAAAAGACAGAATAATGTGGCTTGTTATTTCTAATGCAACTGGATAACTGAGAAAGCCAAAGAATACAAAAAAAAAAAGCCATTGTGTGCTTCACTGATTATAAAAAGGCCATTAATTGTGTGGATCACATTCAGTTGTGTGTAAAAAAAAAACCAGAACCATTGTCCTCATGAGAAACCTATACACAAGTCAGGAAGACACAGTATGAACAGAATATGGTAAGATGGACTGATTCCAAGTTACTAAAGGTGTGAGGCAAGTCTGCATATTCTCCCTTTAATTATTCAACCTATATTCTGAATATTTATGAAAGGAAGTGGACTTGGGAAAAAATGAGCATGGTTTTAAAATTGCGGGAAGAAATATCAATAATCTGGCCTACTCTATGCTGATGACATTGCTTTAATAGCCAAAAATGCAGATGCCCTGCACCCTCTAGTAATAAAGTAAAGCAGCACAATGAGAAAAGGGAGTAAAATTAAATACACAAAGGAGACCAAACTATTGACAACAGATAGAATAACCAGCCTGAAAACTGACAATGAAGATATTAAAGTGGTGTCAAGTTCGAAGCGCACTTATGCTGTTGCAACCATTATTGCTTCTCAACTTGCCAAAGAACCAGGGGGGAGGCAAGGGTGAGATGGATGCAGGCTCCAGACTTCAAGAAGACAAGCTATGAGAGCCAAGGGCACTTTGGCAGGTGTTTGCCAAGACCAGAGACTTTTTCTCATAACAATAAAATGACACTCAATTAGACAATGTGACCTGCACTAATAGGGGGGAGGGAGAAATCTATACTGTCATTATGTGGGTTTGCATGGGAATTAGATAGATCTGGTTTTCCCTTCATCAGTGCCAAAATGATGTACTCAATAAAGTTTTGCATTCAGAGATTGGAAGGTCTCGACTGTGCTTGCTTTGGTTGGGTTCGTCAGTTGGAACGTTGACAAGTGGTGAATAATATCTGCCTTTTAGGATCAACCTGCTAAGGGTAATGTGATATTGCAGAGTAACTGAATCCAAATCATATGCATGACATGGGGTGAGGCAGTGGTGGGATTCAACCAGTGTAACAACCAGTTCGGTAAGCGTGCGATTTGCGTGAAGCGTTTGAAAACCGCCCATTTTCAGCTCTAAAACTCACCTTCTACCGCAGCCCCGGTGAATACAACAGCTGATTTTTGCGGCAATCCACCGTGCCACGCAAATCCGCTGAGCTGCAAAACATGGGAATATAGGACAGACTAGGGAAGGGGCGGGTGGGAGAAGCCAACTGATCACCGGAACTACCAGTAGCAGCCCACCCCTGGGGCTAGGATTTCTCCCCCCCCCCAATTCAAGGGATAAGAGTTTTCTTTTTTAATTGATGCTATCTGTATTTTAGGTCTTTCCCTACATTTTTTTTTGCATCCATCCAGCAGTGTGGGTGGTTGGCATTTTTTCTTCTGAAGTTGTGGTCAGGCCCCTTGAGCTGAAGCAATGGGTTGAAAGTCCTCATATAGATTTGGGGTCAGAGGTTGTCTGCCCTGGTCAGGGTCTGTTAATAGCTCTGAAGATCAGGGGTCTTGGTTATTCACTAGTTTTAATGATCTCTGAAGCTTCTTCTGTTCTATTCCCAGGTAGTCTACTTCACTGCCACTTTCCCTTACCTAATGTTGATCGTGCTGCTAATTCGAGGAGTCACACTCCCTGGGGCTTTAGATGGAATTATATTCTACTTAAACCCAGACATTTCCAGATTGGCTGATCCTCAGGTGAGTTGTAACTTCTATTGCATTTCAATAGGCAGATCGTGCACATTTCAAATGGACTTGGCAAATGTGCTTCCAACTTTTCATGGACACAGTGCTCCTGTACAATCCCAAAAGTGTTACTGCAGCTTTATTAAATCACATCATTAAAGCTAAGTGACTTTTAAAGTAGAGGCATTTTTCAGGCTTGTACAACGACCTGGAAAAATATGTGGTTGCTTTAAAGAAATGATGACCTTTTATTGGCCAGATCAAAATGATTTTTGTTGTCCTCAGAGCTCTATGAAATAAGAGCAGATGAATTTCAGAGGATCAGAGCTCCTATCTAACTAATATAAGGAGCATGGACTCATCTGCATTTAGTTATTGTCATTTATTTAGTGTTACTCCTTTCTCTCAAAGTTTTGCATCATCTACAAACTTATGCAAACATTCACACAGGATAATTTGTATTGATTTTTTTTGTCTGACGTGTGTATTTTGTGCCTATCCTGTATACATATTTTCCTAAGATACATCGGTTTTGCATACAATTTTTCCAAGTATTCATTTTTAAAATTTGATGTTTAAACAGAAGAATCTTTCAAGAGAATTCTAGCAGACCCCTGTGGATGATTGCATGCTCATTCCTGTTACAACAAATTATTTTCTGGATGATTGCACCATTTGCTTGAAAAGAAATCTTTGAAGGATTTATTTGACATGCTTATTCTTAACTGCTTACCTGAGGGATTGTCAGTAATATAACATCTTAAGCATGACCTAATAAATCCAGTCAAACAAAATGCACATAAAAGCATAAAATACCATCTATCACTTTCCCTTTTGGGTTGGTCCTCTAAGGTGCACTGGCTTAAACACCTGTTGTCCCTAGCCATTGTTGTGCTGGTAGCTGGAGATGATGAGCATTATGGTCTGATGCATCTGGAAATTGCTACGTTGGAGAAAATTGCAACACATACATTAAGAACTCTCCCATGGTAGCACGCTGAATAACTTGGAAACATTCAACCTGGGCACTAGCAATTCTTCAATATATGTTTTGTAATCTTCGAAGCCATCCAACAGTCACAGTGTACCATGGAAGTCTAATGAAAAAAATCCAAACAAATAAATGAGGTTACTAGGCACATCATCACAGAAAAGGTATTTCAAAGCCACCACCATAGTTGCCCACCTAACAGCCCATATAAAACAGAAGAGAGCTGGCCTGGAGAATCCTTCAGAGACATTGTGCAATAAGGAGAGAGGGATGGAAGTAGGAATCTCTGAACAGGGCTTGTTACTAGAGGCAGAGAACTTGCGGTCCTGGAGGTATGGCTGAATTCCAATTTCTAGCAAACCCAGCTAGCATGAACAGTGTTTCCACGTGCTGTATTTTAGAGCACCTCTCCAACCTGGATGTACATATCCTGTTGGACTACTGTGCTTGTTATTGCTCATCTGTGCTGTGTGTTGCTAGACCTTAGACAAAAGCAGTTTTAGTTACTTAGGGCAGGGGCATCAAACTGGCAGCCCACGGGCCTGATGCATCACATGCAGGCCACGCCCATCCCAGCTCCAGAAAGGGGAAAACTGTTGCGAAACATCAATTGACGGCAACATGATGCAGTGAGTTGAACACCTGTGACTTAGGGAAAACCTAATTTTTGAAAGACAAAGTCCAAGCTGTCAGCGTTCCAATGAAACTCTCCAACTCATTCAGCACTCAGAAACAAAGTTTACCCAAGTAAGAATTTATTAGAGAAGTCATATTGGCACATCTGGGAAAACCGAATCTGAGAGTTCCGGGTTTTCCCTTCATAATTGAAAATCAAAACCCATCCCCTGCACCCACCAGTTCATCACATGGTCCAATCACACATTGTCCCAACTGGAGACATTCCTCTAACCACTCCTTTCCAGGTGCAGGATAACTTGTCCTTGACTTTAGAAGAAGAATGTTGTTATGTCTAAACTTCCACCTCTCTGAAATCCCCCCTCCCAAATTCCCAGGGACCAAGATGTGGCAGCGTGGAAGCTTCTAAGTAAAATATGGCTTCCAAAGCTGACACAAGCATACCATTGTAAAGGCAAAGGACCTTTCCTAAAAAGCAGTTCCAGCTTTACTGAAGGATGCACACAGGTATGGACATACTTGTCACTGCCAGTTAAGGCACAGCGCTGCTGTTTCTTCTATTAAATATTCAACATCTGACAGATGGTTTTGCCATGTCCTAATTGAAACTGATTAGGCAAGAGAAAGATAATGTTTCTTCCAATTTACTGGGAACTGGTTCAAGTTTCTCATGTCAAATATCAAAATTTCCCCCAAGGGACTGGTGTTCCTAGCAAGAGAAACCCAGCAAAAGATTTCTTAGGGTGCAGACAGAACTCTATGTCTTTAAATTTACTTTGCTACAATTTACTTTAAATTGGATGCAATTTGTGTTTCACTGCTCATTTTGAATTGAGGAAGGTTCAGCTGATCATGTTTTTATCCCTTATTATCAAGAAAACTTTTACTTTCTTTTTGAGTCACATAATGAGTTTGGGGTGACTTTTTGACTCATGCCAAAAGATAATTAACCACAAGCAGAAGATGCCTCCCATCTCCCTAGAGTTAACCTATTGGAGAGTTGGGCAGCATATACATTTATTAAATTTATAAATATTAAAACAAATAAAATAATAAAATACTTATAAATCTAGATCAAGCTAAAAGTTAAAAAAAAAAGTCTACCAACCAACCAACCAAAACCAGTACACACATTCAAATGAAGTAGTCCTCAAATATATAAATGGTTGCTTGTTATTATTATATATACAACAGTGTGAAACCATTGCTGCCAGTTCTTTAGCTGGTATTGCTTTCATATGTATCAAGTTCTTTCCAAGAACCTAGGATGTTGTGATGTATTGGTGTAGAATATATGTGGATCCAAGCAATGTGGCCTTTTGCAATTGACAGATGGAAATTTTGTCAATGCATAGATTTTCTAAGTGCCATCCAAGACTTTTTGGTAGGGCATCAGTCTGCCAAATATTATTATTACCCGTTAAATTTATATTTAATTCTTAGAGATATCATAAGGCAGTTTACAAAAATAATATTTGTAATATCAATACAAATTAATATTTGTAAATGTTAAAACAATAACAAAAGTGTTAGTTTTGCTGGTTTTATTTTTGTTATTGTTGGGTATTTTATCATCTCACACATTCACTTGCTGGACTTCTGACACTGGAATGACACAGCTAAACCTAGAAAATATAATATTGATTGAGTACAAAGGAAAGTTTACATTAGAGAGGCAGCCTTTTGGATATTCTAGTTTCAGACTATTCAGAGCCTCTGTTGGATATTTCAAGAATGTGTGTGTTCATGAGAATGCAGTTATTTATTTCTTCTGCAATTCAATATTTTCCATGTGATGTGTTGGACTTCAGCTCCCATATTTTCTGGACAATGTGAAAAATGGCTACTTCAATTATGGAAGTCCTGTAGCTTTTCAACCCACCAGTTTGGAAAAGGTTGTTGCCTTTGTGTTGTCTCCTGCACCATCCTTAGACTTTGCACTACTACAAGGAGTACAAAGGCTAAAAACTTATTGTATTAAAGATAAAAAAATCTGAGTGAGAGAAATTTATTCAGGATCTTTTGTGGAGACTTCCAAAGTAAGTTATTTTCACATTGATATAAAAGGCTTTAGATTTTGATTTATACATGTACAACATTTGTGAATTTTTCAGTGATACACCCTTTGATTTGATCAGTCGTTCCATCACTTCCAACTCTTCATGGTCCAATATAACTGCTTCTCTGAGTTCTTGTAAGTTCCTGCTTGTGTCATCAGTGATAGGAGCAATCTTCTGTTGACTTCTTTTCTCCATTGACTTTTCCATTGAATTTTTCTAAGTCTTGGGATCTTCACTACAGTAGTTACTCTTGCCTTTGCATTGCATATGCACAATTTTTAAGCTTTAGCTTCATTATTAATGATTCTAGTGAGCAGTCTGGTTTTATTTCATCTAATATTGAATTATTTGTTCTCTTCAAAGACAGTCCAAAGTATTCTCAACAGATTTTCCAGCACCAGGATTCAAAGGCATCAATTTTCATACATTAAGTCTTTCTTATGGTTCCACTTTCACATCCATATGGTACTTCTAGAAAAGCACATGAATTCAGCAATATGTATTTTTTTCAGTGTGATGCATCTATATTTTAATATGTAATGTAGGACATTCTTCTCTATTTTGTGGATACAGCTACAATATGTGTGAATTTTTCAACCAAGGACCTCTGTTACCACTTCAACTTTTTCTCCAACTATTTTCTTGGGGTTGGCATTGCCTGTTAACATGTTCCTCTTGATGATCTACTTCCCGACTGTAAAATCATTGTCCTTTTCTTGTTTCAGGTATGGATGGATGCAGGCACTCAGATCTTCTTTTCATATGCCATATGCCAAGGATGCTTGACAGCTCTTGGCAGCTACAACAAATATAACAACAATTGTTACAGGTAAAACACCACTTTTAATTTCTGCAGACTTTTAGAGTTTTGTAGTATCAGTCATTGTGAGTTGACCACCTGTGTTTGTAAGCCATTGGATTCTTTAATATATATTTCCCTGTAGTCTGATAATTCTTCTGGAATGCAGGATCTTCCAGGGATGGTTCAAATCATTGCAGTTCATCTTCTGTACTGCTGCCTGCTTCATATAACAACTCACTTCTGTAAATATAGATATATAGACACATAAACATGCGCGCACGCACACACACAAAGAGAGAGAGAGATATCTATATTTATCTCTAATCTATGTGTGTAATATCCTTTAATATATTTTATATGTTCTGTAAAGATATTCTAACAACAAGACATGATTTTATGTTTGCATTCCTTGCATGGATTTCTTCTAGTTCAATTATCAATATTTCTAAGAAAATATACGTTAAGGACACATATGTGTGTGTGTGTCTATGGACTTTCCCTGACTCTCATATGCTTACATACAAATGCACACACATGGAACTTCCTTATATTGAATCATATTTTTCCATTTAGCTTAAAATATCTACTTTAATCTAATTGGAAGCTCAAGTTTTTTTTTGTGTGGAGATATTGTGGACTAAATTGGAGTCTTCATTGTTATAATACTTTACAATGAAGACCAGCAAGTTATCTGACATGTAGACTTTTTGTTCAAATAATGGTATAACAACTTACTCAAATAATACTTTCCAAAAACAATAAAGGGGAGTAAAGCCAAAAAAAATAACAATAATTAAGAATGAACAAATAAACATGTAAATAGAGGTAAAACAACTGTGACAAAAGAAAGCAAAGGTAGTACCAATAGTCATAGGTGCTTTGGGAGTAATCCCAAAACAACTGGAACAACTCTTGAACATGATCAGCTACCACTTGAGACTTTCAAGAAGAGATTGGACTGCCATTTGTCAGAAATGGTGTAAGGTCTCCTGCTTGGGTGGGGGGTTGGATTAGATGACTTACAAGGTCCCTTCCAACTCTGATTATCTGTTATCTGTTAAAAAGCATTGACAAATTCACCATCAGTCAATTGTGAAAGGTAGCTTTACTTGGAACAGCTTGCATACTCTGTCAATATCTTTAACACCATCCAATGACAACAATTTCTGTCTCTCTCTCTCTGGAATGTTCCACAGAGATTCCTTCATGCTTTGTTTCCTGAACAGTGCCACAAGCTTTGTGGCGGGCTTTGCCATCTTCTCTGTCTTGGGCTTCATGGCACAGGAACAAGGTATCCCCATTTCAAAAGTGGCTGAATCAGGTAAGGAGCTGATGGCTGCATAAGGAGATAGCTAAATATAAATTATGGTCTGCATTTTAGGAATAGGGAGCCATAGGAATTGGGAGCTGGCTGGGGAATTCTGGGAGTTGAAATCCTCCAGGCTTAAAGTTGCCAAGGTTGGAGACCCTTGCTCTACAAGATGGATAGAGAAACTCACATGTGTCTGATTTTGTTGATGTTCTCCATGCTTATCTGGTTTTGTCTCCCATACCCAGAAGGGACTAGATTAGAAAACACAGGTAGCCGCTGATAACTGTGTATTTGTCTATCTTAATCCAGTAAGCATGTTTGATGATGCAGAAGCTGAAAACTGGCGTTCTTTGCATGAATTCCCAATTCAACTCCAATCATCATGTCCAGTGGGATAAAGTTTTAACAGGAACTGTGATCTGATAACTGTTGAAGGGATACTGGTGCCTTACCTTAAGCTAATAGAACATTGCTTTGCTTCTTTTTGTTTGATTGATAGGTCCTGGCCTAGCATTTATTGCTTATCCCAAAGCAGTAACCATGATGCCTGTATCCCAGCTGTGGGCCTGTTTGTTCTTCCTTATGTTGATCTTCTTGGGGCTGGACAGTCAAGTACGATTATTTTTTTTTAAAACAGTGACACTCTAATGTATTCTTAACTCCATTTAATTTGTAGAATGTAGAATATTTGTTTACCTTTGTATGTAATGTATCTTGCAGAAGAAATACAGTTTCATTTTTTGGAAAGAAAGGAGCCCCATGAATAAATGATGCCCAGCATTAATTGATTATACAACTTGGGAGAGCAGGATCTGATACAACTAATCTGATGCATTTGATCTGATGCAACTAAGATGCACAGATTGTTTGTAATACAAATGCAGATGTAAGCTCTCTTGTCATGGATTCTTTCACCTTTTCTTCTGCAAAATCAAATGTTTTTTCTCAAGTCACTTTTAAGAAAGAAGTAAGAAGTTAGCAATGGATTTACTCATATATCCATGTATAATACACATGGCCACCAGGTGCATAATGATACCAGTGGATGGTTTTGTGTTGACCATTGATCCTTTTAGCTAAATGTTGTTCTTGAGGCTCTTGGATTGTCCAGCAGAGTTCTTTATACAGACTCTGAATTTTAACAGATTTTTTATAGAAAAATCCTAAGTATTAGAAGCCCTCCATAGGCAAAACTTACAGTTTCTGCTACCATAGAGTTCATACGAACTGTTCAGGGATCATGTGCATGTAGGAAGAATTCTTAAAACTCATCTGGGTATGAGTGTGTTGTGAATGATGGGAAAATCTCTGACATGTAGCAATAAATCACAAGCCTAATGCAGGATGTGTTGAGAAATGCCCATGTGCTAAAATTGCTACAGGAAGCTGAGAGCTAGCAAAGAAAGAAAAGGAAAGAGAAGGAGAAAGTTAAACAGATTGAGAGCCAGCAGCTTTCTGACAACTGTCTTCTGACATACTTTCTTCTCTAGTTTGTCTGTGTTGAGAGCTTAGTGACTGCCATTGTTGACTTGTTCCCGGAAGTCTTCCGTAAGAAAGGACGTAGGGAGCTGCTGATCCTGGGCATTGCTGTGATCTGCTATCTCATTGGCTTGCTGCTGGTCACAGAGGTGAGAAGTGGAGGTCAGTGGGGAGGAAAATGGACAACTGCAAACAACATGCTATTACTGTGATACTAGCAACTATCCTGCAACACTTCAGCCCATATGATTAAGCTACTCAAATCATCATGAGGTCACAAAATGCATTCTATTTACATATGTTCTCTTCTCTTCCCTTCCCCCAGCATTCTTCCCTGTTTTCAGGCAACTATTCCAAGAAATTACTATCCCATGTTGTGCTTTCTTTTAAAAGTGATGCTACTTCAGATGTTCTTGGGTTGTAATTGCCCAAGGCAACATAGCCAGTATTTAGGAATACTGACTCTTGCAATCCAACATCTAGAAGGTCACACATAATATGCCGTCTTTCTTTTATCACCTTTCCTCCAAGTTCTAAAAATGAAAATTTTAGAAAGGTGAGGAGGAAAGGTGATAAAAGAAAGATGGTATAAAAGAAAGTCCATTCTGTCCATCTATGAAGGATATGAACTGTTTCAAAACTTGATTGATAAGAAAGGAAGAAAGAAAGAAAGAGAGAGAAAGAAAGAAGGAAGAGAAAGAAAGAAAGAAAAAAAGAAAGAAAGAAAGAAAGAAAGAAAGAAAGAAAGAAAGAAAGAAAGAGGAAGGAGGGAGGGAGGGAGGAAAGATATACTCTTGCTAATAGATATGCATACAATGTATGGAAGCATCACATGTGCACAGTTACAGTTTGAACTTGTTCAACACATGAACAGGATTTTTTTAAAAAAATATGGCATTCTTGTCTCCCCAGTTAATCCCCCCAATTAATCAAACTGAATGGTTAATTCCTTTCTGATTGCTACTCAAGTAACAAGTGTGCTACTTTGCTTCCTTCTTAGGTACTTACTGAAGATAGTACAGTGGGTTTAAGTTGCAGAATGTCTATATCAGTATATTGTGGTATTGTAATTATCAGTATTATTGTGGTATTATTTTTAATTGAAACTTGGAAATGGAACTTTAATGATCAATTGTTCATAACCAAATAGAGAAGATCCTTGTGCAGGTAATGAGATTCATTATCCTGGACATGAAGGAATGTTTTAATGAAGGAGTAATAGTGGGTATGGAGACAGCTACAAAGATATGAGATCTATTATCCTGATTTCTTACTCTTATGCTAGGTTATATAGGAGAAAGAGCTAAAGGGGATGCCATGAAGCCATGATAACAGGAGAAGAAGAGAAAAAGAGAAGTGGAGAGGAGAGGAAAGCTGCCCCATAAGTTTTAAGTGTGTAAATGGATGCTAATAGCATCTGTTATAAAATCAACAGAAACATGACATTAATCCTAAGGAAGCAATCATTAATAATTCAATAGGCTAAATAATTATCCTCAGCTCTCTATCACACAGCTGCACCAACCAATTAAGCTTCAAAAATACCAAGAATGCTTACTGAATTTGTGTGAGACCAAGGAGGGGCATCACTTATCCACAGGAGAAAGCGAAGTGGCATAGAGAAGAAAGCAAGAAGATTGAGATAGCTTTTCAACCCTGGACAGCTCCAAAAGGCCTTTGTCTACTCGCTGTCATTGGTTACAATTCAACCCTCTGACCTGAGAGTAGGACCTGAAGTCCATCAGAATCTTGAAAGGGGTGGGAATGACAGGTTTTCAAACACTGCATTTGAAAAATAATCTTGAACCAGTACAGCTTTCTAATGGGATTATGTCTCCTTCAATCAAAAGTTATAACACCCACTATTTTTTTTCCTGGACTGTTAATTCATCATTTCCTCAGAGATATTTGCTCAGTCAACACCAGCTCTGAGTTCTGGAAGGGTTTTGGCAGCTGGTTTTCCTCAGTATGCTGTAGGCCAATTGCACTTCCAGCCAGAATGCTTTGTTTCCTTGTTGCTGGTGTCTCAGCTCAAATTCCAACTCAGAACTATAGACCTGGAGACAATCAGAATGGCAACCACAAAGCTTTGCCATTTGTGTCCTCCAAATCTGGCTAACGTTTCCTAAATGTTAATTTGGGCTGGAGAGGACAGAAATTTGTATCCACGGGGATACTGCAATGGTTCTAAGTGTGATAAATGTTTTTCCCCAGTGCTGCCATAACTTAAAGTAGTCGTTAAATGAATGGTTTAATGTTTGTTGCTTTGGGTTCTGACCCTTTTGCTTTGTGGTTCTTGTAGGGCGGGATGTACATATTCCAGCTGTTTGATTATTATGCAGCCAGTGGAACGTGCCTTCTCTTTCTTGCCATCTTTGAAGTCATCTGCATTGCGTGGGTTTACGGTATGTAAGGCCTCCAATTACATGCAGGCAATGTTTCATGCCCAGGGCTCCTTTTGAGAATGAAGACATGTTTGACACAGTAGAACTAGATGTGTCAAGACTGCATGGCTCAATTGCATGCCTGGGAATTCTGAGAATTGTAATCCAACATACCCAAAAGGCAGCAGGTCCAAGCAGACGTTATTTCTTTCTCTTTTGGTCAGTCTTTTTGCATCTCACCTTTTACCTCTCATTTAACAATGCCTATTCCAATTCTTTTAGTGGGATAAATCTTCTGGTGCATACATTTTTCAGTTCATACATTAGACAAACACAACTCCTGCCTGCTTCTGATGCATAATTTTTTCATCACACTTTAAACAACAACAAGGGTTAAGGCAGACATTTGGACAAAACTGTTCCAAATCCTAAACTATTATCTCCCCGCTCCCCCAAACAAGAAAGAAAAATAAAAAATAAAATAAAAAGAGGGAAGAGTCAAATTTTTGCTTCAATCTACTCGAGAGTCCCAACATAGAGTCCGATGGGCTACTTTTTTATTATTATTATTTATTTATATCTCCCCTTTATTATTTTTACAAATAACTCAAAGTGAACATACATACTACCCCTTCCTTCTCCTTTTTTCCCAAGGCAACAACTTGTGAGCTGGACTGGGCTGAGAGAGAGTGACTGGCCTAAAAATTACCCAGCCAGCTTTCATGCTTAAGGTGGTACTACAATTCACAGTCTCCCAGTTTCTAACCTGATGTCTTAACCACTAGATTAAACTGGGTATATATGCAGTTCAAGAATGCATGTTTTAATCTGAATTAAGTACTGCAGTTATTTTCCTCTTTTAAATACAGCCACCACAACATGACTTATCACTGGAAGTTTTTAAGAAGATATTGGATAACTATTTATCTGAAATGGTATAGGGTTTCCTGCCTAAGCAGGGGGTTGGACTAGAAGACCTCCAAGGTTCCTTCCAACTCTGTTATTCTATTCTATTCTATTCTATTCTATTCTATTCTATTCTATTCTATTCTTCATATAATTACATAATATCAAGGAAAGCAATGCAAATATTGAATATTGAAAGTATTGAAGCTAAAACTTAGACATATCTCCTTTTAGAGGAGGAAAAACAACAGACAAGCAAGCACACACATTTCTCCCATTTGTTGCTGGCTCAAGCTGCCAGGATTTCTGGTCTTGATGATTTTGCATTTCTAAAGCATTAGAGGGAACTGATGTTGGATCTCAGTTGCTAAGGAAGAAAGCAAGAGGAATTACTGAATCCAACTGAGGGTTTCCCTTTAGCATCTGGTAGCTATTGTGGGAATCAAACACTGAATCTGACAGGGCTTTGATTTGATCCAGGGCACTTCTTATATAATGTTTTTTAAGTATCTTAAATAGAAGCTATCCTCAGGCTCTTAAATGCTTCATAATACTTAGACTAGGATGAAAACCTCATTTCCTATTTTTATTTTTTTCTAAATGAGTGAGCTGCACTTATTTTGTTGTGTTTCTAGATTTGAATTTGAAGGGTTTCTTTTTCCACCAGTGAGATGATAGTACTTTTCAAGGTCAGAACAGACCTCATTATTTACCGGTAGTTATTTTCTGTAGGACATTCTTGCAGTTGGGCTGAAATGTCTCTCCGTTATAACCTAATTTTAATGGATCCAAATTGTCCACTTCCTATAGCATGTTCAGTCCAGTTAGCTACTAATACAATCCATTTTTACCTGTGCCTCTAGTAATGTAAAATCATGCTACCCACCATCATTTCTGGAAAGTGCCTCGGGAGATTATTTTTCATTGTATCACTAGTGTCTTTGGTCTAGTGGTTAAGGCACCAGGCAAGTAAGCAAGAAATGATAAATTCAAATCCCGCCTTAGCCATGAAATGACCTTGGGCCAGTTACTCTCTCCTTTAGAGGGTTGGGAAAAACCCACAGGGCTGGGAAAAATAAGATGAAGAAGGAGTGTTGGATATGTCCGTCACTATTTGTAAAGTTATTGTAAACATTTGTAAAAATAAAGGTGGGATAATCAAATGGAATAAAAATCCTTCCCATTAGCAGAGAGACTGGGCTGTCTTAGTCAATCATGTTTGAGAGATGCGTTCTGGGTTGTTAAATAAGTTTGTAACTGAGGAAATTTTTTCAGTTTTTCTCACCCAGTCTTTTACTTAGAGGAAGAGGAGGAGGCTAGAGACAATTTATTGGGTTTAGATTTTCTTACAACATAACTGAAGGGGAAGAGCTATGCATGACTGAGTAAAAGAACTTTCTCCTCATTTACTCAGAATGAGTAAACGATGGCTGTTTTAGATTATTGCAAGGCAAAACATTCATGCCTATTTTTGTATCAAAATACGGCATCTGGAAATGATCAAGAATTCCCTCATTTCTTTATCTTGAACTCTTTCAGTTCTCCCTCATCCCCCCATCAAGGAAACCCTCACCCAGTTTTGGTATGAAAAAACCATGCTCTCATTTGGCAGTTCAGATCCTCTGTGTTTATACCACGAAGCGTAATAGCAAATGTTGTGAATAAAGACACATGTTTCTAGGCTTATCTGTTGCCAGCCTCGAAATACTGCCCACACCTTGGCAGGATTCCCCCTGCCTGTCAAACAGATGGTTGTTGCTAAAAATTGAGGATTTACTGCATTCTGATTTGTTCCTTTGAACGAACTTCTAGTTTCCAGCTAACTTCTTGTTGCTGTTGTTGCAATGGCCAAAGGGAACAGCCTGTGAGGATTAAAAAAGGGTGGAAGGAATCCTGGTTTTTTTTCTCTACAAAATCTAACACACTTTGGGAGTTGTTGTAAACTGGAAGCCAGGATCTAAAACTGCATCACTTCACTGTCACTTATTATTGGGAATGGAAATTAAGGAAGGAAACCAGTCTGTATTGTTTACTGTGTCTACCTCCAGTTTTGCAGATACATTTTACTGCTAGTGCAGAGACGATTGTATAACTTCCAGGATGGGCCTACAGCCTTGGAACCCAGTTGCTTAGCAACCAGGGAATATTCATTCTCAACAGTAGCATTGTTTTGAAAGCTAAGCAAGCGTCCTCATGTTGCCTTAACAACTGGGCACAACACATTCCCTTCTGGAACTTATCAGCAAAGTGAAGGCTCATGCTATCTTCTTTTGCTGATTAGGTTATAGAAGAGCAAGAGAACAGATATATATCTCTCTCTCTCTTTATGCTGAAAAGATCAGGGGTAGATCAGATCCGTTGAGATTATTGCAGAAGACTTAGACAGCACAGGCGATAGTGATGGATGTGGGAAGCTACAATGCAGGAACCTCTGGAGCAGTGTTTTTCAACCTTAGCAACTTTAAGTTGCCTGGACTTCAATTCCCAGAATTCCCCAGCTGGCGTTGCCGGCTGGGGAATTCTGGGAGTTGAAGTTCACGCATCTTAAATTTACTAAAATTGAGAAACATAGTTCTGGAGGGTCAGAAGTATAAAATCTCAAGGAAGTGAACTTCTTTGCAGACTGGTGGGGAGAGAGTGTTACTTTTGTGTTACCTAAAGAAACGGCAAAGGCTGTTCTGACATGGCCAGAAATAATTCAGAACTGAAAGGCAAATCAGTTAGCACAATAAATAAGCAAGAGAGGAACTGTTCCCAAAAAAACAATTCAGATTATAGCAATATGTCAGAGATTTTTAATACATCATCTGTCAAACCCAGGGAAATCAGGAGATCCAGGCAGTTCAAATGGGTATAAAGATTTATTGTAAGCTTAAGCTCCCTACATCTGAATCTGTACTACTAACGGTCAAAACAATTTGGAAGTAAATAAGGAATTCATGATGGGCTGGACTTAGATCTCTTGTGGGCACAAAGGAACTCATGAGTGATGACATGTCGGGCTCAACCTCCCTCAGGCTCGTCTCCTACATTATCATTGTTACCTGATGAGGTGCTTGGAATTTACCTGACATATAACTGGCCCTGCATAACTGACCTGTCTTTCCAGTCCCTTCTCCCACCCCAATTTCAACTCTACATCAGTTTAGCTACTGTAGACATGTCGTGAGCTTCAGCTTATGACAGTTTATTGACTTTAAACACAATGTGTTCATCAGAGAAGGTCCTTACTCAGAGAAGATTCTTGGGGATTATTTTGCCATTGTAAACTAACATAGAATATAATGGAATAACTGAGTTGGAAGGACTTCTAGTTCATCCCTCTGCTTGGGTAAGAAACCCTACACCACTTCAGACAAATGGTTATCCAATCTCTTCTTAAAAACTTCCAGTTTGGAGCATCCACAACTTCTGGAGGCAAGTTTGCTCCATTGATTAATTGTTCTAACTGCCAGGAAATTTCTCCTTAGTTCTAGGTTCCTTCTCTCCTTGATTAGTTTCTACCTTGTCCTACCCTCAGGTGTTTTGGAGAATAGCTTGACTCCTTCTTCTTTGTGGCAGCCCCTGAGATATTGGAACACTGTTATCATGTCACCCCTGTTACTTCTTTTCATCAAACTAGACATACCCAGTTCCAGCAACCATTCTTTATGTGTTTTAGTCTCCAGTCCCCTAAAGGACATGACTGTCCTCTTATGGTATGTTGCTTAGAAAGACTCAGATGGAACAAGAAGGCCCTGTAAGCACTTTTCTTCTTTGAATTATCCAATTGTTTCCTTTGGCATCATTTGTCACATGATGCAATGGCCACTATTTTATTACTAAATCAGGCTCTTCCATATCTGCCTCTTGACAAATACAAATTAGAAATGTCCACTAGTGCAATGGGATTGCCCGCCTTTATGCTAAAGGATTATAAAAGTTAAAATCCAATTTATCTGGGTAATAGAACTAGAAAACCTTTTCTAGAACTAGAAAACCTTGAATTACGCCGTCTTCGGTCTGACTTA